ACGTTTAAACTGAACATTATTTTGATAGCGCATCATTATAGCCATTTATTTAAACTAAAAGCCGCACTAGAGTAGTAAAGCTTATTTATATAGTTCTTTGGTTCCACCTTTGTCTTGAGATTATTTTACATAACTTTTTTGTTGTCTTTGTTTTTCTATGAAATTAGATCTTACCTAACTTTTTTGTTGTCTTTGTTTTTCTATGAAATTAGATCTTACCTAACTTTTTTGTTGTCTTTGTTTTTCTATGAAATTAGATCTTACCTAACTTTTTTGTTGTCTTTGTTTTTCTATGAAATTAGATCTTACCTAACTTTTGTTTAAAATTCTTATACGAATCTAAACATAATCTACGACACTGGTCCTCGTCCCCAGTTATGTTTTGCTGAGGGTCACATAATAATAATAATAATAATGAGCAGGAAGAGGTACACATTACAAGAGTGAAAAGATTTTTTAAAATACGTTATTAAACAAAAACTGTCACCGCGGGAGGGAAATGCAGCTTTATCAATAGTTAGTTTGGCCGAAGCCCGCCTGGAGGGGTCACTTGCACCATTATATAGTAGTGTGTTGTCTGTCGGTCAATCAATAGACACTAAAATGACGTCACATAAGGGACGTTTAACGAAGCAATTTGTACTATCATGACGTCAGTAAAACTTGCGCATGCCATGAATCTCGAGAAGAATTATACACTGTTAGCTACAACACAACATGACATATGAACTTCAAAAGCAAAGAAGTAAAGATATTTGTTACTCTTAATTTTTGGTTTTATTTATTTTTGAAACAGAACACTTTCGAGGACCCCGCGGAAGTACATGTTGTTTATCACATATTTAATAATCGAATACAAGCAAAACCTCTGTACTAAAATTGTTCTCGAACAACTTTTAATAAAAATCAGCTGCGGGCCAGAAAGGACGATTTGAGTGGGGTCCATGTGACTTACAGAAAGTGACCTAATCATTACCACTTATATACTTTCACAGGTGTTACAGGATAATTATAATAAAGCTTGAAGGGGGTGAAAGTCTAGCAGACCTTCCAACGGACCCAAGTTCATTGGACATTACAACATACGGTGAAGTACATAGAAAAAATGGCCGCGGGGCTTACATTGCAGAAGCCATCAACACGTAAGTATATTTTATTCGTTATTGTTCTTTTTATTCTATATTATCAAAAATATACTAGCATGTAAACAAGTACATACTTAAAAACAAATATGCGATGATTACATTTTTTGAAGTTATTTACTTTGGTAAAAAAAGCTGTTCCTGGTTTTGTCCAACTGCCGGAGTGAAAGCACTAGTTAATTAATTATATATGATCATAAAGTTACCAAACATGCTCGCCCTTTAAGCCGTGGAGGCGTTATAATGTGAC